CATATTTCCATCAGCTTTTTGATGCATCTGAAGGCTTAAAAGTATACAAATAATAAGAACTAAAAGATTAGAGGTAAAGGAAATTTTGTGGAGAGATGTTAAAGGAAGCAGTTCCTATACCTGTAGGATTATAATTTATGGAGGTGACCAAGTGACCACATGAGGAGGTCAGCGCCATTGAAAAAAGAATTTTCACTTACGTTCCCCAAGAGATGGGGACATGCCATGCCATGAAGGCCACAGGGAAAGCACCAGGTTCTAGTCAGGAAGCAAAAGCAGGAGCGAGGGGGAAGCCAAGGACAGAGCCTTTATCGGGGTTTCCATGGGAAAGCCAGGTAGGGCAGAGTAAACAGCGTACTATTGGCTAATCTGAGTAATTCCAGCAGGCCCTGGGCTGTAGGGATGATGTCTAGCTGTCTGGTTCCTGGCCCTGGATGGTTCACGGCAGAGGAAATACAGGCTTGGTGTGTGAGGGTTAGCTGGGGAGGCGGTTGGGGCTGTAGACTCAGGATTGCTTGGTTTCCCTACAAAAACTGTGCTCCCAGTTGAGCCCTTGCTATCTCTAAGAATTGGTTGTCCAGTCTCTCCCCAGCCAGCAAGGATTTAAAGATGTCAGTGTTATAAAAGATGAAAAAAAGTGATTGCTATAAAAGCTTATGTGTTACAGCCAGAGCACATTCTTGTTTTGCAATTTTTTTTCTTTTTTTAAATGGAGGTAGTGGGGATTGGGCCCAGGACCTCGTGCATGTTAAGCACATGCTTGACCACTGAGCTATACCCCTTACCCCTCCAGAGCACATTGTCATCTGGCCCGATTTTCCACCATCATCATCACATGGAATTCTTTCCACCTCCTTCCCTTGCCCCACCCTCCAGAGGCCTTTTCTGAGCCCTTGAAGCTGAGCCCTTGGGTCCTGCCCATGTGCTTTGAAAAACACCCTGTGTTTTGGACACATCATGTTATTTTATAACTTACAATAGAAATCCCAGCCTTTTATGTAACAATGACCCCCACTCTGGTGTTTCCATTTTTACTCCTGGTCTCTTTGTGACCAATGTGAATTCTATGCCTGGTTTGACTTAGTCTATTTAAGCCCCTTTATCTGCTTGTTCAGTTGATATTTCCCTCATATTTTACTTTTATTTAAGAATTTGATATTATCTAAGACTTTAAGGAAGGGACTAGACTGGTTCTCAAGTATCATTCTAATTATTGAAAGAGATGGCTGGCAGTATCGATCTTAAGAAAACATCTCTCTTTGCTTTATTTTTCCCCCTACAAATGTCTTTATTGAGCCACTACAGGACAAAGAACTCAAGACAGAGGCAGAAAAGAAAATAAACCTAATAAAATATGTCTTAAAATGGAGGTATGTACATTTTAAGGAAGTGTGTCCATTAGAGGAGGAGGAGGAAGAAGGAATTCTTAAGTTAGCTGCCTGAGTCAGGGATGACTTCTCTTGGAAGATGACATATGTCTGCCTCCTTTTAAAATTGCAGTTTTTTTTTCATTTGTTTGTTTTGGAATATAAACACAATACACGTTCATGGTAGTACATTTAGAAAGTATTTAAGAATATAAAAAATAAAATAAAAGTGAATTCCAACCTCATTCTTGAGCACCAGTGCTTAAATTTTTTTAATAATAAAAAAGTATATTTTGAAACTAGATAGAGGTAGTGGTTGCACATCATTGTGAATGTACTGAATTGTTGACTTTAACATAGTTAATTTTACATCATGTGAATTTCATCTCAAATTATTTTTTAAAAGATGCTTATTTTACTGGCATTTAAACATAAGGAAAATCAACTGTATGGGCTACGGAACTTAAGGTAAATCTTTTTTTTTTTTTTCACAAGAAGAGAAATTATTTCCCAAAGTATCTATGTCAGAAAAATTATGAGACCTATTAACAGGGGTCACTCTCTTGACCACAGGCCTCATTCAAATTTCGCTGATTATCCCAACAAAAATGTCTAAAATCCAGTCTGCCATCACATGTTGTCTTTCACTGTGGTGTCCTTTAGTCTCCTTCAGTCTGGATCAGTTCCTCATCTTCCCTTATCTTTATGATCTTGATCTTTTTTTTTTTTTAAAGTATAAGCTAGTAAGTCTATAGATGTCCCTCAATTTGGGTTTGCTGATTCTCCCTTGTAGACATTCCACTGAAAGGGTGATGTACTCGGTGCCTCATCATAGAAGCCACACAGTGTGAGTTTACCCTGTTAGCAGTTAGGTACATTCTTATGTCTTGGGTAAGATTGGATCTGCCAGGTTTCTGTACTTGAAAGTTACTAAGTCTATTGATTTCATAAATCTGTATGTAACTTAAAAATACTTTGTGGGATAATAGTTTTGTAAATGCAGTTGATTCTTCTTATTTACAGTAGTTGTGTTCTATAAAGTCATGGGAAACAAGATATTGAAAACTGAAGCGTTGTTCTGGGGGAGATCCAGGTTCAATTCCTATTAAAACATAATCATACGTCAATACATAACCTTGTTTCAGGTGTGTTTATCTTCAAAGGCAGCTTATTTAATATATATTGTTGGTTCCTTAACATTGAACCCACAGCCAACAGTTGTATCACTCATGCCTGAAGGAAGCTTACCTAACCGTGTATTAGACATTTATTCAAGGAGCTCTGATTCCTTTCAGTGGAAAATGGCATTTAGCAAACAAGAACTGGGTGCTAGGTGGGCTCATTGCTACCAGGGTGTCATTACTTCTAAGCCGTGTTGGTAACAGGAAGTGTATGTACACACACACACACACACACACACACACACACAGTCTGTCTGTCTATCTATCATCTCATGAATTCATACCACTATCTCCAGTTCCAATGTAACTGTCCCCTTTCTGTATTTGTGACTCTCCTCTCAGGCAGTTAGAAAACTGACTCCCATTAGTCTCAGTGTATTTACTGATTTACTCACTCCCCTACCCCTGTATGTAAACAAATAACCAGCCCCACCAGCTAAAGACACAACCCTGGAGACCTGGCCCCCTACTCCTGCAGGGCATGTAGTTTGAAAGTTTAGCTCCAATAAAAGGGGAAGAGGAAGGTGGAAGATAGAAGGAAGCTAACTTAAAGTTGTAGAAAGTCTGAACTTTTGCTAAATTGTCCTTAAATAACAATAGGGATTTTTTTTTTGTAATGAAAGAAGAGAAACATGTGTTATTTTTAGTTAGCTTTGAAATTAGAAGGCTGTTTTACCCTATACCAAAAGGGTATAAAAGAAAAACCAGTTTTATATGACTAGTATCTTTAAAAATATTCATGTGATACATCTGTTATCTTCTTGGATTTAAACATTTTATTTTATATTTTTCCCAGGTGTTTTAGTTTCAGCACATTGGCTTTTAGTAGACCAGCTAAACTTAATTTGAATCTTTAAATGTTGATAGGAAATCTTCTGAACTTTCTAATTTTTAATGTTGGAAATGACACTTTGATTTGCTGTTTACAAGAGAATATTGGGTAATTTTATGAAGTACTTTGATTATATATATATTTTTTCTGCTGTGTTTATCCATGTTAAGAAAGTAAAGTATGCATCTTAAGATTTCTTTTAAAATATTTATTTTAACTTGAAGCAATTAAATGATGCTATCGAACATTAAAGTTAGTTTACACTTTACAATGATCATTGCAAATAGTCATGACTTCTGAAATCTTAGATTCTGGTGAATAGGCTATGAATTATAGCCTTAATAACAGTGGTTGCTTAATTTCTATGGAATGATTTTAATATGTTGTAGCATAAGGAGATAATTATTCTGATAAGTGAGACTGTGCATGTCAAAGTAATGCAGCTTTTTACCTTTTCTATGAAGATATGTAAAAATCACACACGTGAGTTAATTCACATTACAAACATGCAAAAAATACAACAGCATCTACCCAATAATCTTTTTAAATTTCTCTTTCCAATCTTCTTAATCCCATTCCCAGAATTTCTTGGTGTTATATATATTGAAAAGAATACATTCGACTGTATATAAATACATTGTTTTGGTTTGATTTTTACCTAAATTTATATATATATATAGTTACGCACATGTATATGTGTATTTCTTGCTTTTTTCATCAATAAAAATATTTCTTGGAGTTCCTCTTATGCCATACATATAGCTCTATTTCATTTTTTATTACTACATAGTATTTCATTACATGGCTATGCTACAGTTAATTTAAACATTTCCCATTGATAGACATTTAGCTTTTTCCCCTACGTTTTTGCTGTTGTAAACAACACTGCAATGAAAATGCACATACCTCTTGAAGCATGTGTGTGGAAGTTCTATGAAGTAAATTCCTAGACTCAAAAGTGAGATGTGACTCCCTTCATTGGGCTGTCCTGCTCCTTTGGAGACCATTTCTGTTCCCCAGTCCAAAGTCCCTGGGAGTGTCTGACCCGGTGGCCTTGTCCCTTATGCCCTGTAGCTGTATTCTGTCCTGTTTTACAAAGAGGCTGGGAGAACCAGTGTCCACCATCATGGACCAGTTCCTCTGCTGTGGGCGTCTGCCACGTCAGGCCAGGGAGGTGGCATCTCAGAAGTGTGCCTTCTCAGGGAGGTGTTAGTGGGATGAAGTGGAACCCGAAATTTGGGATTATATTGCAGGAACTTAACACATGTACTAGTAGACTTTAGGGTCTTATCAAAGAATAGCATCATTTTAATCAATAATGATTGCAAGTCATTTATTTCAAGCCATTTTTGAAACAGGAGTCATAGGTTGATTACTTCTGATACGGACGTTTGTGTATGGGTATATTTTTAGATTCTTTATTCAGTTTCCTTATCCTAGTTGAAAAATTGAAAAGAAAAGCCCCAGTCTACTTCATAAAGGGGATAAGTTCTAATCAGTCTTTAGGGTTTTCTGTATTGCTGAATGGCTACTTCCAGTTCTTTTCAAAAGCAATTCAATTTGATCTTATTTTCCATCCCTCGTGTATAACGTTCATTTGTCATTCTTGTCATTTTGTAGACCTACCACGAGCAGCTGTCAGGATCTTAAGCAACATGACATTCCTTTTTGTGAGTTTGTCATACACAGCTGAGAGTGCCATTGTGACTGCTTTCATTACCTTCATTCCCAAGTTCATCGAGTCACAGTTTGGTATTCCGGCTTCCAATGCCAGCATCTACACTGGTAAGGCACTGCCGTGAGAGCTCCTTGAAACCATGACCATTTCTGTCCACTAAACGAGAATGCCAAGAGTGAGGAGCATGTTCCTTCTAACATCACAGAGTGTTAACAAGCTCGTTAGCAGCAACCTTCCCTCCTCAGATTTTGGGAGGAGGAAGTCTTTGAATGTTTTCTCTTTGATTCCGATTGAATTATCTGTGTGACATTTTTCCCGATGGTGTTTTGGAAAAGGGAGAACTTTGCATATTTCTCTTGTTACGGTTCTCAATTAAAAAGGGTGAGACAGGCAAGGCATTTAAACTTAAATCTGAATAAACGTTTGTATGGGTTGACTTGAGTCTTAAAGTGTTAAATTTTAAAACCTTGATAATCTGAAACATAGAAATTTTAAATAATTGATAACCTGAAATGCAGATCAGTTTCATAGCGTTAAGATTTTCTCTTCATAAATATGAACAGATTTTATCTGAATTACTGGAGGTGCTTGAAGTTAGAAAGCAGGTCTGTGAATTTTGTTTCGGATGATGTTTTCTGTCTGGGAAAACTGAGTTTTAGAAGACTTCGGTCCACATGCCCATGGTGCTTAGTGCTCAAATCTTTTTTTCATGATAAATCAGATGCTCAGAAATGTGGCAACATGAATTCTCAGATATTGGAATTTTCAGTGTATTTCATATAATATTCTGGATGTTTCCTTAGTGGTTTCCAAGATGATCTTCCTGAGGCTCAATTTACTATAAAATACAAACAGTTAAGTGGAGAATTATGAGACCTTTTCCGATGGCCTTGGCTTCCACTTTCTCCTCCACGTCCACATTTAAACCCAGCAAGCTCGGACTATCTGACAATTAACACACAAAACTATTATTGTAGAAAGAGAAGTTGACTTGAAATCTCTGGGTAATCATTTTGTTCTCTATCACTTTGTTTTCACTTTGCACATAAAAAGACATACATATTGGGTTGTGGGTCCATGATAGCAAATCTTTTTATAAAGAGTGTACTGCTGTGGACCTTGTAATTGTCACCTAAAAATAGGTTTTCTCTGTTGGTTTTAAAAAAAATACATGTTTTCCTTATATTAAGGTAAAATTGGTAAATTTTACAGATTACATTAGAGTTTGGGTGTGAGAAATCCTTAACATCCCATTTTTAGTTTAATTCTTACACTAAGCTTTGTTGAGTGACAGTTCTTGGATGGGGAAACCAAGAGTTGTGGCTAGATCTGATGCCACATAATTGTCAAATGTAGTCTCAGCTTTACCTAAATTAAGTTTCAGTATTACAGAGATCTTTGCTGCAGGACTTTTCGTAACCCTTAGTATGCCAGTGTGCATTGAGGAACTCCCAAAGGAAGGTTCAAAGTGCAGTCTTTCCCAAACTTACTTGACCATGAATTCCGACTTTTTTAAAGCATTCTTTCTCATGAACAGTGTTCCTTGGGACTCACATTGGGAAACACTGCTAGTCCATCCTGTGTGTCCCTGTTCCAACCAGACTCGGGAGCAGAGCCGTCTGGTTATCGCCATTTGACTTCAAGGGTTGCTGGGAGTGGTACATTGCCGAGCTGGGTGGGTATCAGTGTGTAATGAATGTATATTGACCAAGGCCATCTCTTAATTACTGGTAGAGGCAGAGGCTAGATAACAGCTCCTTGTGGAAAAATGGAATAAAGGCTTCAGCTGGACCTGGGTGCTTGGCTGCAGAGTTCTGTGGTGTGGCTAAGGCAGTAGGCACTGAACATGGCCTCCTCGGTAAAGAGGGGCAGGATTGAGTAAATCTAACACAGGAGTTTGTTCATCCCACGTTCTGACATCTGGGTTTAGAGAAACATTGTCACACAGCGCCCAGTGCCATTCTGGTTTTGTCACCAGCAGTTTTGTTGTTGTTGTTTTTGTTGTTTTTTAATCACTGCCAATGCAGTTTATACAATGGTAGTCTCCTGTGTTTTGATAAAAGGCCTTTCATTCCCAGATCACGTAGTTTTTCCTTCCTTTCCAGACAGATAACAAATACAAATAGTCAAGAAATACTCAGATTGATGAAGAGTAGAGGGTGGTCTGTCAGATCACAGTAAGATTAAACAGGGATAACAAATTCTTTTTAAAACTCGCCTTGATTTTTTTTTTTTGAATCTGTGTCAGTTGAATCCTTCTTGTTCTCTAAGCAGAGATTCATATTTTTGAAGGACTTATTTAATTTCATTTAATCTTTTGTATTTAAAGTGCTTTCTATGCATGTAAGTGACATGAATTAAGAAATGTATCTGAACAAGAATTAAAAAATAGTTTTAATTTCTCATCTGACATAGTTTTCGAGTTTAAAGTTCTTTTTTCATTTAAAAAAATTACCTTAAACTTCCGTAACAATTTGCTTGTGTTGTGTTACGTGGTCGAGATGAAGTTCCATGCATGCAGCAAATATAAAGACTCATACCAGGACCCTGCTTACTTGCTTACAGATCTAAGAGGAGAGAGAAAGCTTACAATATAAGTTTAGAAAAAGCTGTTTAAATAAATTAATAGAAGCTTGGGGTTACAGGGATTATTTTGCCTGGCGGAGTGGTGTGTTTGAGTTGCATTTCATGGCATCCCTTAAAATGGCTTTTAAGCAGGCTTTTAAGGAAAAGCAGAATTTGATCATTTGGAGTTTGGAGGAAAGGCATTAACTCTTTAGAGGAGCAGCTTGAGCAAAGAGCAGGGAAGGATAAGCTTTGTTCTGGCCAAAAAAAAAAAAAAAAAAAGGCTTGCCTAGGAGAGAAGTAGAGAGGACTGTGAAGGCAAGCGGGCGGGAGGTGGGGTGGGTGGTGGTGAGGGGGAGGTGAATGCTTTCTGGTACTGGGGTTGGGACCTTCAGCACCACTGGGCTCATATGTTATCATCGCACTGGGGGCCTCTGTGCCCTGGGAGGAGGTGGTGACACCGAGGAGAGGATCCTTGAAACACTTTCATCAATTCCATTTCATCCCGCTGGAGTTTGTGTGTGTGCAGCTGTGGATCTGTGTTCACGTTACACTCTCCCTGCTTGTGGTCTTTCTACTGGCCCTCCTAGGGTCACATGTATTGACTGAAATTAAATATTATGAAGTTAGTATTTTGGAAGAGCCTGGAATGAGGGGAAGAGCCATTGCAGGAGGGGTTAGATGGAACGGCTGTGAACCCTGCCCTGCTGGTTACTCACCCTGTGACTTTGGACAAGTCCCTCAACTCCCTGAACTTTATCAGTGTGATGAGGACAGTATCTCCCCGTCTTTCTCTGTGTCAGTGTTGTTGCGCGGATCACGTGAGGTAGTAAATAGTGATTTGCTCTGAAGCTTACCTAACTTCAAATAGGCCCAGCAACAGAAATGGAAAAATACAACTTGATCACATATTATAGGAAACAAAGTCATTATTTATGATGACAGTGGTAGCGCCATACATTTGAAGTTCTACAGCTTGAACAGGTCTGAGAATGAAGCCTTTGTAATAATAGTGATGCCAATAAAATGACTGATGCTATTCGCCGAGGTATTTTTATATGGAAAACATCATTTAATCCATGCAGTAGGTATTACTGATTATGTCCATTTTCCATATGAGGAAACAAAGGTCCAGAGAGGTTTAAATAACTTGCTTGAAGACACACAAATATAAGTGAGAGCCAGGAGGCTGGAGTCTTGCACTCTTTGGAGTATAGAAATATTCGTATGTGATTTTTATTGAACTATTATAACAGGCATATTCTACTGTCATCACTTCCAGTTAGGTTTTTTTTTAAACTATTTTGAGAAATGATATTCTAAGATTCTACTTCCACTCACTCTAAGCGCCTTTGCCACTGAACCAGGGGCCACAGCATTCGTTTGCAGAGCACTGTGGTCTTTCAGCATCACTTTTGCTTTCCTGGGTTTCTGCCCTTTGCGTGAAGAATTATAAAGAGTTAGACATGTGTTTGTCTTTACAAGGGAAGTAGTCCTGGAAAACTCTTATTTTGTTTTTCAATGGAGAATAATCAAGATACTTACTTCTGTGGTAAGGAGATTAGGTTGGGGTGTTACTGTCTAAAGAAAAGTTACTGTGGTTTTTATGGTTGTCTAATTAACGAAGTATTTGCCACCCGTCTTCAACCACTGATTCGGAGTTTGCTGATGAGTTTCAAGGTAGTGTCACTGAACGCAAATTGCAGCCTTTGAGACTCATTGCATCTTTTGATGCAAGAGAGGCATGAACATGCTTTGGTTGGTTTCGTTCTTCTGAGAGCATTAACAGCTTTTCTACGCCAGTTCTTTAATTTTAGGAGAGTAGTGTTTGAAATTCACTTTGTACTAAGTTTACAAATGTATTCAAATATTTTTTAAATTAACCTTTTAAATGCAAGTAGACTGTATCAGGTGTGCATGTACTGTAGCATCACAAGCTACTTCCAAGGTCAGATGATGATGTCTGACTGCGAGATGTGTGAACACTACACTCAAACTGGATGTGCTCTGGGGGAGAAGAGACGCTCCTTGCAAATGGACATACTGCAGCAGCTGCTGGAGTCTTTTGCTTGTACAGTGTTACACAGTTATGTTAGGAGCTAAGAGTGACCATGATAGGTTCTGTATCTTTTGAGCAGAGAAGTATTTATCACTCTGAATTACACTTGTGTTTCTTCAGTGTCAATCAGAACTTTTGTAGAAGGTTATGGTGGACAATTAGTCGAGATACTCAGATCCTATTTGTTCATTAACCAATTAATTTCCTCTCCAGCTTGAATGTGTTGAGTAAGACATACAGTACAGTAGTCAAGAGAGTCAGTTTTGGAAGGAGACAGATCTTGCTGAAATTCTTATCCTTCCTCTCCATCTATCCATCCATCCATCTGTCGTCCATGCACAAGTATTTATAAAGTTTCTGCTAGGGGCCTGACCCAGCGTGCCAAGTGCTAGAAAAATCATGATGAGGACACTGAGGGATCCCACCCTCAAGGACTGTACAGTACGGTGACCTTAGTGGGCTGCCTGTGTCCGTGGACAAGTT